AAATATATAGACTATTTACACTTAAAACTAGTCTTAATTAATAAATGACAGCTGTTGTACAAAAATGAACTTCGAAATATAGTTCACAAGAAGGCAAAGCAATGAAAGACGGAATTAGTGTCGACAAGCTTCGAAATCAAAAGATCTAAGTCTAGGCATATATTTTTATGAAGTTGCACATTGTATAAAACATTGCTGTAATTTACTATATGGTATTACCAATCATTCAACGACCATGGGAAAGTTTGGTCTATAAAACCGCGTGTACAAGTGTGAATATCGTAAAGTGGTGTGCGCACAGACTTAGAAAATATATTCCACTTATGACAACACGTCATCTGCTCACGGAAACTTTTTGCGTCATAGTTTTAGTACATGGTCACTAGTGAAAGTCGTAAAACGCGATGTAGACACAGTGAAAATAATTCTCGCCTGTGAAATGATAGAAAGTTCACATGTTATCACGCATTTAATGTTGCAACTGCACAGCGCCAACGTGATGAAACGTGGACAAAATTTCCTCATGGGCAGTATATTGAAAATTAAAAATGTGTTTCGAAATGGTGGAGAAGGAAGTGCTGATAGTAATGAAATATCCATCGCTCTGCTGTCAGACAACTATATCTGTAAATGGACGAAGCTCTCACAGCATGTTCACCGTACTGAAGTAGTATGAGTATGAAAGACATTCAAAGATCCATTTTTCAATCATTCAGGAGACGTACATCAAACATGAATCTGTAGGGAGCTCTGGCTTGTACTTGCAGAGAGTCTTTTTGCGTTAAGTCAGAATGATGTCAAAACAGAGTAAACATAGCATTTCACATGATGACAATATCGGGAGTCTACATGTTTTGCTTTGTTAGAGTTTTAATGGGTGAAACCTGACGTTTGAAACCTCTTTATACGTAGCAGAATCGCTAAATATTTTAACTGTGCATTTTCTTTTACAGAAAGAAAAGAAATAGAGAATAACATTTAGCCTCTGCAGTATGATATTCATGCCAAAGAATGTATAAGCAAAATTATGACAATTCCATTGTGCGAGCATCTAATAAGCAACAACCATCTGGTTTTTCAAATTATAAACTAAATAGGCAAATGCCGTATCGTGATAGACTAATGTATGAGCGAGAGTTGAATGAAATCATTAAAGAAGAAGAGAAGCCGGTATAATCCATCTTTTTCGTAAACGTTGACTAGTAATGTTCAGTATGATTTGATTAATATATTTAGGATAATTGGTGTTTACGACCGGGATGTATAGGTTTAAGTTGCGGTCGTTCTGTGATATTATTTGGTACAATGAGTGTAATAGGTGCGGTTTCAATTGGTGGTATTTTTGCGTGTGTTTTATTACTCACGATTAGTAAGTGTTTGTTTCACGCTTTTTAGTTCAGAGCGTGATGGTATTTGTCGATAACTGTGATATTGGTTTGAGATTTTCTAGAGTCGGATGCAGAAGTTACTTTATAGCATTTTTCAGCTCCAAAAAAAGCGCTTGTTTCTAACGCAGCGACTTCCAAAGCGCACTAAATTGACATAAATGTCGTTGTTGCTGCAGTTCTGTTGGTGTCATTGATCTTGATAATTAATAATTATAATTATAATAATAATAATTATGTCATTATCGAGAAGAAAATTTTTACGAAAGTTTAAGGAAAGCGGTTGATTGATCTACAATCAGGTTGGTCTGAAAAACTGAATTAGTTATGCAGTATTTTTAGAGCTGCATCAGACTCAGAAAAACTAAAAATTAATTTTCACAAAAAGTGTTTTCTTTTCTTTGGCTTCTGATTGATTCCACACCTTAACAGTACACTCAGGGCTGACTTGGGTAACCGCACGATGATTTAAGCTTAGAAAGTGCTTTTAATGGTAATAGTATTCACTTCTTTATCTGTTTTTGAGTATTTGTCATATTTTAAGTTATCTAAGTTTTGTACTGATCTAAATTTGTCTCAAAGTTTAAATTTCTTTTTCTTCTAATAACTGAAGTAGCCATGACAAAGGTTCAATCATACTTCTGTCATCATATTCAGAGTTGAATGAGCTGATTAGTACTTTCATCTCTAAAGTTAAAAACTCAGCCAGATCATATGAAACATTCGAAGCATTGTAAGCTGAGTGTACAAAACACCTTGTGTAAGCATGCAAATCAACGTAGTTCCTGAAGATGAGTACTCGGAGAATAGCCGAAAATATGCTACGTTTAAGATAATATTGATATATACGTTTTTCTATAGATGATACAACTGATGTCATATGGAAAATATTTGGTATTGCTGTTTGTTCAATTGTATTAATAACAATTATATTAATAGCAGCGTGTATGTGTACTTTTTACTACAAGAATAACGCTGTATATATTAATGATCTTGATCAACCATATCATGATGTTGTACAATCATATAGCAATAACCATCATCAGCATCCAACTTCACAACCCATATTCGATACCTCAACACCAAAAAATTTATCTATTGATATGAGAGATAATCAAACTAATACTAATCCAGTAATCACATCAGTTAAACCAGAAAAGCCATGGTCATCTCAACAACAACATAGTCATTCAAGTAAATCAGTACCCGCATCATTAATGCGACCAGTAATTTTAGAGGTTTTTGAGAAATCGCCACTACCGCCACCTCCGCCACCACAACAATTTCACCATTCAAAACCAGTTATTCGAATACTTGACTATTCGAAGGGGATATCACGTCCACCAAAACGTCGATTATACACACCACCGATTTCGGAGATTTTATCACCACCGAAGCAGCACCGACCAAGACAATCATTACCAAATATTGTACGTATTGAACATCCACAAACTCAAGACTCGATATTCGAAAGGTCGATAGAAAACTTTTCCTTAGCATAAAACAGTATGTATTTGGCTGACAACCATGGAGCTAAGACGCAAAATTCAATAGGCAATTATTTATTAAAAAGGGTTAGGAATCGTCAAATCGAATCAAAGGTTGACTTCAACGTAAATCCATCAGCATCTTAGACGACGGATTTGGACTTTTTCTAATCCTATTAATGCTACGATACATTTTTGTACAAGTAACTGACACGTACCAGACACTAAAAATATTTTCTTCATCCCCATCAGATGATGAATAAACACAATGCCGACTTTTGCTAAAACTTTTTACTCAGTTCATACTTCGTTCTAAAACAAAAGTAAAAGAATTGTTTGCACAGTTGACTTAAAGTGCATATAAGATCGAAACTTAAAAAAGCTAGTTGATTTTTAATAAATATTATTCAGATGTCCAATCCCAGTTTCGTCGAGTAAGATGCAATCTTTTGAAGGTGGTCAATTCTAATACAGACGTGCCTTCTTCTTCTGAGCTTACTTTCTTTTTTAATTACTGACTTTCCCTCGAAGACTACGACCGTTACTTATGAATGTTCTTACACTTGTCGAAAACCTGAAGATGTAATCCTTTTCTAAAAGTTTAAACTTTAGGGAGAGGATCCTCACTATCTAAAATTGTTGAAATTCTCCGAAAATATGAACTTATAAATCGTAAGTTCACCTGTTTGTCACACACTTTTAATGTTATCGTAAGTTATAAAAAATTATCTGTAGTTATATTTTGATTCTCAATGCTTACAACCACGGGATACATCATTTCGATTAGTTGTAAGATGGTCAGAATTTTTTCTCCTAAACCCTGCCTGTTTACACGACAATAGATTATTTTTAGTTAAATGCTGCTAAACATAGTTCTGAACAATATTTTTAACAAGCTTGAAGTTGATGAAAACAACACGGTTGGTCGGTAGCTGTCCCAAATGATGATTACCAGATTTGAATAGTGTGTGTATATAACCTTGGTTCCAAATATCACGGACACAACCAGGCTTAAGGGAAGAAGTAAATAAATATGTAAGCTTTATTCTGTCAGAATACAAGTGGAATATATTCCATTATAGTATTTTAAACTAAAACTATCGAAAAATAGAAAATAAATTTTGTTTGAATACAGATTCGAATACATGAACTTAGTTTTGCAGAAACTGCAAAACTAAATCCACTGTTCTGTGTCTATATTCTGTACAATGATTCACGTTGTGCAATCGACTCGCTGTTATCAGTAGTAATTTTTTTAGTATGTTTTTTGTGTTCTGTTTTTGATATAACATGCTTTGCTCTTTCCTATTCTTTATTTTTCTTCTTTCTGCTTTCTACCTAAGAAAAACTGAAGTACATTTTCTTGGGCGACGTCTTCTGTTAGGTTCTTTACGTTATTCTTTATGTAATGATAACGGTATTCGAGCAGATCATTGACTAGTCATGGTGATTCTAATTGCCTATAATTCTCACAAGTGGCGGACAGACGTGATGGCAAGGTGTGGTAATTGCCACACCAAAAAAACAGACTCTGGCCCGCCACTGGTCCTCATACTTATGAAGATCGATATTAAATGGAAGTATTTAACAGATAATTGATCGTTTCCGCTATATGCACAGACAAACACTGCGCTACTATTATGCAATTTACACTCCTCGAATGCGTGTCTGTGAATCCCTCGAGTGTGATCGCTGTGTGACTACCCGAGTGTGATCACTGTGAATATAAGGAAAGAACGTATAACGCTAAATGTCAAAGCACAAAAAGCATCCGTTTCAATAAATAAAGCATGACCATGTCATTGTAGAAAAAAAAAGAAAGAACACAGCTTTACGTGTTTGACATCTTTTTAGACTTAATGACAAAATGCGCACGCAGTCTGTTTGAAATTCGGGACGAAACGAATTCTTGAGAGATAATTATATGTATTGTAATATTTTTAAACCACTTATACAATCTAGTTTTAAATAATAATTCAGAATGTTTTGGGAATGTTATGTTATAACGTAACGTCTCGACTGAGATACAATTCATATTTTAACATTTTCACTATTTCCTGAAGTTCGTTAGGTAATGGGAGAAAAGACGCAAGCTTTTGATCTTTAATCAAACTGGAAAACCCTTCACTGCTTAAAAAACCCAAAACGATGTTTCTCTAAATCAAATGCGTTTAGGAGAAAGCCTCCTGGTTTTTTATCAAAGCTTGAAAACCATTCAACTCTTTCTAAAAAACAGTTTTTAGTTTTCTGGTCAAACAGAAATTGGTTTATAAATAGGTTTCTTCGGTTTAAATAAAAAAGTCCTTACTTACCAAGGACTTTCACAAAGTACTTCTTAGCAATAAAAGCAAGTATTTTTATTATTCAGAAGTACTTCTGAAGTTAAAATGAGAACTCAGGCCCTAAATTTTAATTAAAATTTAAACTTAATTAATTAATAACTCTGTGAATAGTGATCTGTTCATCGGAAAAACTGAAGGATATATGCAACCAAGTGTCGTTTTCAAACTGACATAGTTTGAGGGCACATATGGGGGGGAGTCGTAATCAAACTGATGTTTCGGTTGGTTTTGATGATCTTTCAGTCTCTACTGTAGTAGACTCAGTCTTCTATTTTCTTCTTACAGCTTGTTCCTTGCATTTTAAAAATTCTTGCCGTTCTCTCTGCCGTTCTGACGCTCTGCCACAGCACAACGCATTTATTTTAATGAGATTTCGATATATTATCGGTTTCTTTTGGCGTATGTATACGTATACATGAAATTTATTTTGGTAGATAATTTTATTGAAATTCTCTTTACGATATACGATTAAATGCATAAATAGAAAAAGATATAAGAATATTCTTCTTTTTGCTTTCTGATGCCTAAAGAACCACATGAACATAGTTTAGTGGTTGAAATGCTAAGAAGTAAATTACGATCACTAGCAGAAGCAGATAGATTAATAATACCAGATGAACCAACGATAGTAAGATTAGTTACTTTACAGCATTTATATACATCTGTACGAGGAATTGTTAAGAAGGGAACAACATTATTAGATTTAATTCAGACTCTGCATGCGACACCCGCTGTTAGTGGTTTGTCCACAATCCCATACACTAAAGATTTATTCGAGAAAAAGAAAATTTGGATCGCGGATGGTATGCTGCACCGATTGAGTGAATTGACTTTAACAACCACGATGAATTTGATATAGCTTTAAGATCGGTTTTAATTAACACTGAGTTAGTGTCATTATTTGCTGGTGCTGGTATTATAGTTGGCTCTGATCGAGTGCTAAGGATCCTGGAAAAACGTCCATAGCTTCAGAACCATGGATTTCCAAGATGTCCCTTAGACTCAGTTTTATAGAGGAGGCTTCTGACTATATATGTATGAAAACAAATCCATAGATTTCTATGTCAGCTTTCAGAGAACCGCACTGGTTTTTCACAGATCTCCCGAAAAACGATTTTTGAAATTTTTCCAAACTCATTTTTGCTTATGAAAACATAGTCTTAGATCTTTGTTAGGGAATGATGAAAACCGCAAGTCTCTATCTTTTATTCCCCTTGAGTTATTCAAAAAACAACCACCGGCCTTGTATTTTAGCGCCGATAACAGGTGCAACAAACATTGAAAAAGAAAGAAAAACGAACGGAATATTCACATAGTAGATGCGAGAGTAGGATTACCAGTCCTACTCTCGCAGACCGTTGACAAAAAAGAGAAAACCAAACTAACTTTCTTAATCTGAAATATGAAAAGCTTTGTTTTACTTAGCTCAGCAAATTCATTTTCGACAAAGTACAGATTTTTCAGACAAAAAAACATTTTTTCTCGACCGGCCGGTCAAATTAATTTTCTTTCGGCCGACCGACCTGCCGGTCAGAAATTCCTGACCAGACCGGTCGGTTACGTCTCTGGTATCAGCCTCTCTCTCTTTACCTTTTCAGTCATACTAGCTTAAACTTTGCATCATGTAAAATATTTTATCATGTTTAAAATGATAAATACAATTTTTGAAACGTCGACTTTTCCTTAAAGAATTTTGTTCAATTTTTAATTAAATAAATACTTAGGGCATACCAAAAGTAGTGGCAGTGGTATTTTTATCCCTTATAGAAAGGTTAAAGAAACTTTCTTTTTATATAGTCTGATAGAGAAAAGAATGTTCTATTTTTCTATGCTATTTGAT